AAGATTGGAATAAAAAAATTTTTTGCCGCTGGTGAAACACAGTTGAAAATGTTTTTGAACCTTTTAGAACAAAACTCGGTATCGGAGTTTCCAAATGCCAAAACTCTAATGACCGTTTTCTTTTTGTTTGTAACGACTCTTTAACCAAGAATCATTCTTCCATTTTACGATCACCCTTTCGTAACAAATTGACAGTGTTTTTGCAATTAAAAAAGTTTCTCTAATAATTTTGGATGCAAAGCAGAGTTCATTTCTCTAATCCTAAACTGCTACATGTTGTCCACTTGATTATTATTTTGTTGTTGTTGTTGGTCAGACATCAAATTGATCATAATTTCCTTTTGTACATTATGTGAATCACTAATTCCGCTCAATATATTGACACGTGCGTAGTTTTCTCACGTACGAGTTGAATTCCAAGTAAAGAGTGACCAATTCTAAATTAGAATCTCTAATCTCTCCCAAAAGCCACTAAGAAAGGAAGCATCGGTGAAGAGATTCGAACCATTTTTGTCTTTTTGGGGTTTCTCTAATCCTCGATCGAATAGGTGTGACCTGAGATCACGACACGAAACAATCTTCAATCGAAGCACTTTCGAGTCATCATCATTCATCACCATGTGGAGAAGAATCGTTTCCTCTCATTTGAAAACCCTAGCCGCCGCTGCTTCGCCTCGTCGATCGGTAGCAGCCACCGCGAGACCCGTTGGCTTCTATCTCTCAGCCAATCGATCAGCCATATCTGCTTCTTCTTTCGTTATCCCTCGCCATTTCAGCTCCGAGTCAGGTGATAAAATCGTCGCTGTAGTTTGTTTCTTGTTTTCAGATCTCGGCTTGAGACTCTATTTGCTGTGGATTTAGATTCAATTCTCGTTGTATAAATCTGTATTGTGCAAGTAGATCGGTGTAATAGATTCTCTTGTCGCTGTTGATACACGTTTCTGATTTAGGGGGGATTCTGTGCAAATTTGTTTGTCTCTTCGACATTGGAGGATTAATAGTTGTTATTGTGCTTGTGGCTTTGCAGTAGAGACCCCAGCGAAGAAGAAGGTGGAGGATGTAATGCCCATTGCTACTGGACATGAGAAGGAGGAGCTTGAAGCTGAATTGGAGGTGAGTAATTTCCCATTGCAATATGTGTTTTTATTGCTAACTCCACTAGTGATCATGTCACTCCTGCATAATGTTCTGGCATTACCACGGAGAATTATATTCGTCTCCTCGATTACACGCTAGAATCGAGGGGAAAACTAATTTTGATTTTTTGTTTTGTTGGGATAGGGGAGGAGGCTGCTTGACATTGACTTCCCTGAAGGTCCTTTTGGAACAAAGGTTAGATAAGTTTCTATTACCTGTGATATCTCCTGACTCTACCTTCGAATATCTTTACGTTATTTTCATTGCGAAGTTTACACATTATCAGTGTTTCTAGGCATGGTATAGACTTTATGTTCATCATCAGGACTCAGGGTATAACTGAAACAAACCAAGGACACTTAACTCGGGTCTGGTCTTATGAATAGTCTTATAATAATATAATCCAGTTTAGCTGTTTTAGTTACTTCAAATAACCAGATCAAATTTGTCCTGATACATATCCCTTTATGCAAATTGAATTTGAGTCCAGTTGGTTTATTGACCCATATCTATATTGTACCCTTGTTTTTGATCGGTATTGTTCCATCACCCACCACGGCTTTGGCATGCAGTACTCACTTCTTTTATGTTCATTTGAATGCTGCCTCATTGTCACACTTAACTCTCTTGAGTAATCATTTCTTCTGTTATGTCTATTTGAAATTTTGAATGTTGTCTAATTGTCACACTTAACTCTCTTGGCATTACTTTCTTTACATTACTTCGGTCATATTTTCCAGAATTTTGTTTATAATCTAGGTAGTAGTAGTCCCTGGATGAAACACTAGCTTGGATAAGCATATACGGGATTTAGCCATCTTTAACAAGTTTCCAAGTTGCGTTTGTTAGATTACCATGGTCCACTCCCATGATGCGTGTGTACCCGATGATGACGAAAATTTGCATGTCGCAGTCAATATGCGCAAGTGTCTGTAGATCATGAAAGTTCATATCTTAACATTCTTAAGCAATCTGTTTCTGACTTGCTGAAATCATATATGAGTATTTGAGTGGTGAATTTTGCATGCTGTATAGCATAATCAAGACATCTGATCATTTTCGATTTATCATTATCTTTTGAGTGAGTAGTATTCATTCTCTTTTTAGCTACCATTTGATAACAAGTTTGTCAGCTTATTG